GGAGTATGTGATTAGATACACTGAATCATGTTGTTTTCCTATTAGAACATGTTATTGATAAACTTAATGTTAGATGTCCCTAATTTGGAAACATAATCTAATTCTGCATTTGATAAAAACATCGAGCATCATAGATTACAAAAGTGCATGTTGATGATATTCGCTCCCTAAGAAACAGATGAAAATCAATGGCTAGATAAAGGTAACAAAATAAGAAAATCAATGGAAAATCGAATTTAAAAAATACGAATTAACTTATTTGTATTTACGCTTTATACGGATTTTAAATGCTGCGTCGCTTCTATTCATATATATATACAGATTTTAAATGATGCATCGCTTTTATTCATATATCTCTAATGTAAGCTCTACACGCATTAATCACTTAACTGAGTCCGATCACTATGTCTTTAAATTCATTCTATGCATGTAGGTTAACCGAGACCTTTTAACAAATCTTACTGGCCGTCGTTATGCTTTAGACAAGCTGGAGAGACAAGAAATCCTAAGCTTCACATTTTGGGCGTCTTCTTTTGATGTGGCCTTCTTTCTTCTTGACTTCATCATATTTTAATGGAGTTCAGATTCCATGCACAAACTTAGTTAACTTGCATGAATTATATCAAATAAATGTTAAAGAATACTGAAATAATTAATAAGAAATGAAAAGAAATCTACATTTTCTTTAAGAATTTTTTCATGACACATCTAAATCAATTAGTGTGTGCAGTTTAGGTAGGACGCTCACTAATTCCATGATGTAAAATAGATGGTTGAATAGATTGAAGAAGAATTGGACCGAAAAGGAAAAAATGTAAGTGCAAGTGTGGTAGCCGCCGGAAAGAGAACGTCAAGACGAGTAGAACTCTCTGCAATGCCATGACATACGGTGGATGTTGGCCTTCGAGTTTGTTTAGGACTCAAAAATTTCTTTTAAAGTTTTAGTGGTATTTTTGTCATTTATTTTATTTCGAATTCTTTGCAATTTTGAACTATTTAAACTAGATTTTTATGTGAACCCTCATAAGTAAAGGGTTAGTACATCGTTTTTTACTATCTTGCATTAATAAAATCTCGTGAGTTTATTTTTTCTTTAATTTGGTAGATTTCAAAATTGTGTTCTTAAGGTTTCATTTGAATTCTTTATTTCGCGCTGCTTTATCCCACGTCCAAAGCCACCACATTTTTTACTTTTGAAAATTTAGCCCTGTTTGAGCCCCATTTTTGGAGACAGTGGGTTTTTAATTCGAGTTTGTTTAGGACTCGAAAATTTCTTTTAAAGT